AAGTGAGATCATGTACGAGAGAACTCACTTTCCATATCGCAAATTAGCAAGAGATTCTTGAGATTCATAGGTATTCTTATATTGAAGGCCAATAATTTTTATCAGGGCATTTATTTCAGCATTGTCTACAAGTTGCCTATTTGTTGCATCTCTAACGTTGAGCAATTTTCCCCTCAGAGGGAAAACTCCGTAATAATCTCTCCCGACGACACCCAATCCTGCCACAGCCAAAGATTTAGCTGAATCACCTTCGGTAAGTATTAAAGTGCATCTATTTGAGTTTTTTGTCCCAGCCTCATTGGCATCTTCTAATTTGGGAAAGCCTTTAAGCTTTGCATGTTTTGACTTATGACATTGTTTATCCATTTTTTCCATAGCCTTAAATCGAATCCAGGCGAGGACATTTTCAACAATACCAGATCTGGAAGCCTGAAACATAAACAATGATGCTTAGAGTACCTGGTTGGTGAACTTTTCACTTAGTACGCACGTTGAACCAAAACACTTAGATTGTAACGTCATATTCTCCTTCGTTTGAGAATCAAAGGTGGGATTTTCGATCAAACAATTAACGAATAACCATATGTGATTCTTTATTTGAAATGGTTTAATCTGTATTCCCGACTTTCCTGATTTCTTCTTTACAATATCAATTAGCTTATTGGCAATCTGATCAGCTATATAATCAACATGCCTTCCACCCTTGGTAGTGGCGATGCTATTAACAAAGCTGACTTGCTGAAATCCGGTAGGACTGGAAGCAGCAGCAACTTCCCAACGGTCGTTAACTATTTCGTGTACGACCTAAACGTAAAAAATTTATAAACCCACCTTAACCGAAGCATCATCCACTTGATTCATTTTTAAATAAAGTTCAATGTATTCACGGAAAGATTTTACCGGAAGCCTTTTCCCATTTAAGAAGACCTTGATGCCTTTGCAAGTTGCAGCTATATCATAGGCCCGACGTGTGAAAAGGGCGACTGTGTCGGCATCAAGTTCAGACATATGAAACCTATCCAATTCAGGATAAAATGTGACACTGGTAAAATCATCCTCCTTATTTGGGCTTATCTTTGGTTCGGCTGTTTTTGTCATATTATCTATCCATATCTAAACATAAATACAAAATTTCTGACTTACTTGTTTAAAACTTTTTTTGGATTCTTTACATGACGTCTCCACGATAAACTTTTTGCTGAATATATTACAAAGCTTTGCACCAAAACCGTTCCTCCCTCCAGTAACTTTGCGATCAGAATCATCGTAATTGCTCGATGTCAGCAAATGTCCAAAGATTAGGGTGGGAACGTACATATTTTCGACTTTGTGCTGAACTACAGGAATGCCCTTTCCGTTGTTCCAGATTCGAACCATGTTTTCCTCCCTATAATACGCCATTGTTACATAAACTAAACTAACGGATTGATATCTATTTTGATACAAGTCATTGAGGGATCACGGACTTTGTTATCGGCAGCATTAACTAGGAAGATTAAATGAATAAAGCTTGCCCAAGATTTCATCAAATATTTTGTAGATGCCTGGACAAAAGGACAGCTCTTTTTGAATCATACACCCTTTTTCTTCATCCATAACCCACATAGGTTGGGTTGTCTTCTCTGTTGAGCCAATATAAGTATCTGGACGAAGCAAAATGTGTTCCAATTGGGTTTTTTTTTGATAAATCCTTTCAACAGAGAGACGCTTATTTGCACCATCTCGTTGATCTTCCAGCCCAGCAAGGTCGTTTACAAAGCTGTCAACATCAGCCATCTTTGAAAAGCAGAGACGACTAATTTGCACACTAAGTGGAAAACTAGTGGCTTATTTTACATAAGACCCCGAGACTTACGAGTGGCCCTTAATTGAAGCCTGGCAGCATAAGCAAAGAGGCGAATGAGTGTAATGTTGAGAAGAAGGGGAACAGGATACAAAGTAAGACAGGGATCAAAATTCGAAAACAGCGCCTGAATGAGAATAAAGCAAAATCGATACTATATGATATTTGTAAAGCTAAGCAAAAAAGAACCGTTGACTAGAGCAAATATTATATTTTGATTTATTCACATTTGGAAAGTATTTGCTAGATGGCATTAAGGACAAGTTATGAACACAGCTGGATACTGGAATGCTAAGAGGATTT